TTTGTCGCAAAAAAGGGAAACTTTATTAATAAAGAGGTGTTTCCAACAGGGCAGGTTTGGTCTGACAAGCTTTCTACAGAAACACACTGAAAACAAATGAACACACACACACCACTGATATGCAACTATAATGTGTGTTTGTGGTGGTTACTATTCTGTACAACACACACAGAGGAGTCAGATCATCCAGCGAAAAGCAGAAAAAGGCCACAAGGCTCTTAAACACTTCAAAACATAAATTCAGTTTGAGCAACTGCAGACTGAAAACGTGACATAAAAAATTGTTCTTTACAGATTCCCACCAGCGTTCATCTTCTTCACGGGCGTGGGAACTCAGAAACCAGCAAATCACGCTGAGTAAGGATCAGATGTTTTAATGCAGAGGATAGAAGAAAGGAAGGAGGGGAAAAGCTAAATCTCTTTAGGGACATCATTTGTCCAATTTTTACATTAGCACATGAATGCAGCGCTGTAGCAGTCATCAGAGTAAGAAATAAAAAGGAGAAGGAAAGCTTTAATGTCAGCTACTCAGATTAATTATCTTCACAGAACACACTGTATTTGACTTCCTGTTTTACCTTTATGTCCATGTTTTTAAAAAAAATGTCTTTCAGAGAAAGCTAAAGGTTATCTGCAATCTGTTTCCTGCAAGTATGAAAATCTCTCATGACAATATACAAATGCAACAGCAAAGCATATGAATTGTATTTTTATAGTTCTGTCCATCTTTCTGTGATGTCACTTTAAAGGAAAACATTCACTTTAAGGTTGATAAGAGTTATTCTCTTGGATGAGTTTATGTTTTGTTTGTGATGAACACACCGTCTTTGGTCGTTTGTGAAGTTGGTAATCACATCTTTTTCTTCACTCACCAAATTGAACCGACCCCCCACAATGTCACAACAAGACCAAGGTCTCCACCTAGACTTGAAAATCCTGGAATAATCCTTTAAAATGTCGTCTTTTTGTCCAACCAACAGTCCCAAACCCAAAGATATGAAACAAAGTGAAGCATGCTCAGTAGAGATGGACAGAACTACCAAACAACACCGACATTCCTGCAAACACTGTGATTTGTAACAAATAAAAAAAGCTATTATACAGTTAAATGTACAAGAGTGTCCGTCCCGGGCTGAAATCATTCGGTCTGAATCTTCAGGAGGAAAGCTGTCAGACAGCGATGCCATCACGTACACAAAACATAAAGAGGTCTGCTATGCAGGGACCGATTTCATCTCGTTCTAAGAAACTTAAAAGAGAGCAAGGTGCAACAAAAAGATCTGAGCGCTTCTCCTGGGTATTTCCAATGTCTCTAAATACTGCATTACCCAGAAGCCTCGGCAGCAAATGTCCATCCACACCACACATTCAGGAGAACGCCTCGTCACTGCAGTAAGGAACAAAAGTCAGACCACTCCGTAGTTTGTCGAGTTTAAAACAGAACATTTCTTTGAGCTAATCTTTCTACCAGATTGGCGTCATGACTCGCAGATGTGTAAGCTGTCCTTGATGAAGCCCCGCCCACTGGGTGGCAGCATGAACACGGGATGGGATGAACGCTGCTGATCTATTGTCATAAGTCAGTTATACAAGGTTGAACTTAGGATTCTATTTCTGACCTTCTGAAGAGCTTTGAACCATCATAAAAATAAAATAACTCAGAGCATAGAGGTCCATGACTTTATGTTAAAGTTCAGGAAAGAGTTATTGATACCTTTGAGAGAACACCTCTTCACTTAAAACAATAATATTCTAACTTAAATGTTCCAACTTAAAAGCAACATTAAAGGATAAAATGTCACTGCTGACTTACAGGCTTACAACAGCTACAGATGACGCATTTTCTTTTAATCATTGTTATTCATTTCTGTCAGGACCTAAAGACAATTTCAACCAAAAATCTTAAAAAGTGTATCTGGAGAAAATGAGCAACCCTGCCTTAAATAATACTGAATGCCCTGAAATCAAACAGGTATCTAACTCTCAGCTGACCAACACTGCAGTGTTTCTCTGTCAACACAAATCCTCACACGACGAGAATTAGAGCTCAAACTAACAAGTTTTGTTTCCATTTATGATTTATGTGCCTTTATTATTTTCACAGAGAATTGTCTTTCAAATGTCAAGAAATGCTAAGCTGAGTATTATAATGTCTTTTCTGTCTCTCAAACAGTCAGAAACTAAAATGTCTTTTCCTCTAGACACGAAGAAAGGAACAAGCCCTCACATTCAAGCTGCTGCAAATATTTGGCATGTGTCGCTTTACAAGATCTGAAATGTGTAACTGAATATCAAGATTGTTGGTACTGAATTGATGCTTTCTCAGTGCAATCTTCTGGTTTTCCACATCACAGCTGGTGACAGGCTGAGCCCTCCAGTGTGATGGGTGAGCATGTGATGTTTCAAATGAAACTATATAACTGGACGTATGCCTGTAAATCAGCAGGAGTAGAGATAAAATATGAGACTCAACAAGGAGAGAAGTGTTTACGTTTAAATCTCAGCACTAGAGCGTTAAAGCTGTGTCCCATTTCAGGCGTCTCTTTGTTTATAAAATAAAAAGCTTATCCGGTCAATGAAGCTTTCCAACTATTTTTTTTTCTTTCGCATGTCCTCGTTGGAAATCTTGTACCTTCAGTTTAAAGTGTTTTGTTTCTTCTTTAAATGATGAAAGAGAAAAGAAAACTGCACAAATCTACAGTTACGAGTCGGCTTAGAAAGTTATCCACGTTCAACCTCCATCTTTGTTCTCCATCAGGGTCTGGATCTACTTCTTCTCCTTCTCCTCCTCCTCCTCCTCCTCATCGTCATCGTCCTCATCGTCCTCATCCGTGTCTTTCTCGTCATCTTCTTCCTCGACCTTTTTTACCTTCTCTTTGCCTCCTTTGTCATCCTCTGCAGCCTTTCTCTTGTTTCCGTTTTCTCCTCTGCCTCCATCTTTAACATCACCATCATCATCCTCATCTTCTTTGGACTCTTCATCATCATCATCTCCACCCTGAAAAAACAAAACAAAAAAACAACAGCTTTGAAGTGGATGTGATGTTGTATCTTTGTGCTTCTTTTGCTTGAATCATTCAAAATAACAACTTGTAAAACCACTCAACTCAAGATAGCCAATTGTCTACTATTATGATTTTCACGTTTACCTTGCCAGGAGGTTCAGATGCTGAATAAAAAAGGTGTGATGAGTCAGAAACAGTACCTGCTTTATACGGTTCCTCCCCCTGCGAGGCACCCGGGCCTTCATCCTCCGGGACAGCGCCAGCAGCTTGTTGTGTCTCTGCCTCTTCTTCGCCTTCTCCTCCTCCTCTTTCCGCTTCTCCTCGGCATGGTCCGAGTCCGAGTCGTCCCGCCGCTGCAGCCTGCTCCGCTTCTTGGGCTGCACCATCCTCTTCGGCTGGCTCCTGTCCCCCTTCTTATCTTCATCCTCATCGCCTGGACTGTACGAAGAGGAGCTGTCGTCGCCTCCGAGGAAGGAGCGCTTCCTGCGGGTCACCGAGCGGCTGTCATCGCTGGAAGACGCCCCGGAGTCGCTGCGGCCCTTGTCCTCCTGCTCGCTGTCCTCCTCCCGGGAGCTCTGGTAGTCGGATTGGGACGCAGACGAGGAGGAGGAGGAGGAGAAGGAGCCTTCGTCACTGTCGTCCAGGATAGAGGCGGGTAGGCCGATCTGCTTCTTCTTCGACGCGTCTACTTTGGTTTTCCGCATCGACGCGAACATTTTTCGCTTGTACAGGCTCTCCATGACTGCACGCGGTACCGGAGCCCGGTGACATTAAACAGAAAACCGAACAAGAGAACCGGACGGTCCACCTCTGCAAACAGGCTAACGACGCAGCTAACCAGCTAATATCGTCTGCGCGTCACAACAGTTGCTGCATCTTATTTATGTAAAAAACACAATATGGCGTCTGAATTTACCTCAGTGCACGTTTAGTATGCACTCTACTCACGGACACGTCCTATAAATGTGTGTTAAAACAAGCTTTACTTGTTCAACACGGGAACATTTGTAGATTTTCTTCTTACTGTAGCTAGCTGTCTGTTATTGTTGTTGCTTCAGCTTCTTCTTCGATTGAAGGAATTACAGTTTAGACTGTTCGTGCGCCCCTTGTGGTACAAAACAGTTACTGCAGTGCAATTTTCATTTAATTTAATTTAATATACTTTATTAATCCCCGAGGGGAAATTCTGGCAATACACTCTGTTATTGAGCGAACAGCATGTTGTTTACGGTCTCAAACTACACACATGCACTGGAAGGACTTATTGACATGTATTAATGGAGAGATGTCAGAGCAGCAAGGGCTGTTGGGGGTTCAGCCCAAGGGCACATTGGGAGCACTGGGGAAGTCACCTGGCATCTCTCCAGCAACCAGAATAACTTCCATTCTTTGGTCCACACCAGGACTTGAACCGGCTACCCTCCAGTTCCCAACCCAAGTTCATACAAACAGAGCTACTTCCTCCCCAGACTGAGTAACACTAGGTCACACAGAAACTAGTTTCCCAGCACCACCCCTTACTGACAAACTGCTCTTTAGGCCCCCCAGGCCCTAAGGGGCCCTTATAAGGCTCTGATGGGCCCTAACCCTTACGATGTGTTCCAAAATAAGTTAGTTAACACGTGATTCAAACTATATAGCATTATAGCATAATTTTTGACAAGTCACAGCAGGAAACGCAAAGGCCGTTGAAAGTAAATGAAGAATTCCATGCAGCTGATTCAGCTTCTGGGTTCTGATATTGCTCATGCTGACTCACTCGGTTAATCCTGTTTCTGAGGATTTTCAGGTGCAGTCCTGTTCAATCTGTGGGTGTGGGGCTCTCACATCAGCAGGTACAGCAGAGCTCTGATGCACACTTTTAAATGCCAAGTGGCCCCCTTTCATCAACTTCGTATATCTGCAGAGTTAACTGAGAGCAGGTGTGCTGGAAGTCTGTCATAGTTGAGGGTGCTGACTGATGTAATTCTAATAAGATAACGTCATACTTTCTGATTGATTAAATGGGAGGTTCAGGATTCTTAATACACCTACTTGCAATATCAACAGCAGCTCATACTGATCTTTAAGCATTTTAAACTCAAACAGGCCCCGCACCAAGAGTTCACACAGACTTGGTCAATGACCAGTTTATAGTTTAAAACAGAGGAGTGAGGGGGGGCGAGCAGATGCCATCGATGCTCACCAGCTGTTCTGAGACAGCATCAGTCTGTAAACTGAGACAGCAGTGTTGTTCACACACTTCACATACAAGTTACATCAGGACAGACGATCAGATGAAGGTTTTTGATTCTTGCCCCCTCTGTTTAAAGAATAATCAACTAATACTATACATTCTAGAGAAACATCGTGTTATGCTGCTCCGTCTGACGGGATAATCAAGTGTCATTGTTTTCTTTGCCTGTTTTCCTCTTAAAGTGTAATAGATTGATGCATCTCAATGGATCATCTTAAAGAGTTTGAAATCCCTCCATTCTACCTCCAAGCAGCTGGAAACAGCCCTGTCTACATATCCCATAAAACAAGGCAGACATGAATATAAATGTTTTTATACGCTGATGCTTTCTGCACTAAGGGTCTTGCCTACAGATCTTAAATTCTCTGCTGGATGTGGCATTAGGCTGCTTGATAAGAAAGACACAAGCTCTCAGTGTTTGCTTTCAGTAGGATTTTAATGTTAATGTAAAATTAAAAACAGCTCAATGGGCTTTTGATGCAGACCACTACGATATTTATTAGATACTGTTACCATGACAACGACATTAAAACTCTGACGACCTTGGATCCCTCAGTCAGGACTTCTGTGCCAGAAGCGTGCTCAGTTTGATCTTTCCGTCCATGGAGGCGGTCAGGCAGGTGCCGCAGTCCACAGCCGAGCACCAATCGACCGTCACCACGGGCGCTTTGTGCCCTCCCAGTGACAGCACGCTCTCCAGAGCTGGCTCCCCGTTGGTGAGCTGGAGGATGAATACACATTGAAGGAGGAGTTTGAGAGTTAGAAGTTTGAGAATTAAAAGTTTGAACAAGGTTGATGTTGGTTAAAGGTGGATCTGTGCTGATGAAGGTAAAGGTGTATTTACTCGGTATATGAGTCCTCCGCTGCTCGAACAGGTCAGGACGTGCTGTCCTTCAGAGTCGAAGGCGAAGAGGCGACCTCGAGGAACCTGAACCTGAACAGGAAGTCATTCACAAAATGTATTTAAGTAGTTTCATTACATTTGTTTATCAGGTCCAGATTCATCCTCTAAGACATTGGTTCCCAACCTGGGGTCTCGGCCCCCATAGGAGGGGCGCCTGAGGGGGGCGCGAGGCTCTTTCTGCTGAGGTTGTCAAAATTAGATTTTCCTGGATACCAGTGGGGGGAGGCTCCGAGGAACCACCAAACTAGGTCATTAATAAAACTGTAACATTTGTAGTGCTTAACTACAGGAGACTGTGGGATGAACTTTGTATCGTTTCCATAGAAACACTGCTCACCTGTTTGTATCCGCTGTAACCTGACAGGACGAAGGGCCCCGTGGCGTCCTGAGGTAACGCCTGCTCTGACTGCTTCACGCCACACCGATGGATGTTCCACTGGATGAACTAAAAACACAAACACACGTTGATTTTCTTTATTTAAAAACTGCTATGGTGTTGTCTTTCCAAAACATACAACATGACACAGCGCTTCAAATGTTGGGGTGTCTTGGCGCACAGACCTTTCCGTCCTCTCCGATGCTGAAGACGGTGTTTTCATCATAGCTGAACTCCACACTGTACACCTCCCCGTCATGAGCTCTCCAGCTCATAGCGCTCTCATAACGCTGCATATCTGCAGAGAGAATTAAAGGCACAGTCTGTAAGTTCGGCCACCAGGGGGCTCTCAATCAAAACAATAACAAAAACATGACGTTGAGGTGGCGGGGAATCATGGGAGTGATTCTCTCTGCTCCCCCCACCCCTGATGAAAATTAACTCAGAGCTGACTGTAGCCAAGTTACTTCTCAGATACGACATTGTAAGTCATTCTAAATAGTCAACTTGATAAATCCACTTTTGAGAATAATCTTAGTTGCTGAAAGTCACTGACCGAACAGTCGGATGCATCCGTCAGCTGCTCCGGTCACCAGCAGGTTTCCGTTGTGGTTGAAGGCGGTGCAGTTTATAGCTACTGGTTCAGGCTCCAAAGAGAACTGGACCTGAGAGACAGACAGAACCATGAACATCCCACAGCTACAGCGAACACAACATCATCATTTCTCTTCTTGTAAAACATTTCAAATGTCTCATGACTCATCCTGCACTCAGGGGGGTTCATTATCGACCAATCAAAAAGCTTTGCTGAAGCTGACGATCAAATTGAATTAATTGGAAAGTTTTGTCCCGCCTTCTATCTTGTGATTGGTTCTGTCCCGTTTCAGTTGGAAATACATCGCAACAAGGCAGTTATGCTGCATTCAGGTGCTCCTCGGACGGTCCCAGTCTCTGAGTTGGGAAGTCGTTCTTCCAACTTCAATGTGTTCACTTGATTTCGGTTCTGAATGTTCTCACAACCAAATCAAACAGCGATGATGCTACGAAGAAGCTGTGAGTGCTACGAATGTCTCTGTTACAAGTTATAGTTGAGCAAAAAGTTGATGTGCAATATGTGAATTAATCAAAAGTATCTTAACATATTTCTCCCCCCATGTGATTACTGATATGCCGCCAAGTCGGGCAGTTTATTCTTTCACAAGTTTCCGACTTGTTGTTCCGACTTGAGCAGATGTTCATGTGCATTTTCAAACTCGGAAACTGATTTTTCCAACACCACATGAATGCAGCGTAAGATACTCTTTAAGTTCATGGGGACTTTAGGGTGTGAATACAAAGAAATTAAAAACACAATGGGCAAATACAAATATTGTGAAGAAGATACAAATAAAGTTTGCTGAATCAGGGAAGGCTTTTAAATAAACTATGTTTGAAAGGGGGGGCTAAGACCGCTGACTTAACTGACCTGTTTGCTTAATAAGAAACTCTGAAAGGCAAACTGAAGTAGTCTCAAAGAGCTTCATGAAACTGAGTGTGAAAGAAAGAGTGTTGTAGTGTGATGATATTCTTGTTAAGCGTGACATGGACTTAGTTTTATGGTCTTGGTGAGGTTCATGTCTTTTAAATTGCTGTCTTACTTACCTGTTGTTTGACCGTCTTTGTGTCCCACAGCAGCAGCTGTCCTGACACCGGTAAAGGAAGTCGAGGGACGGTCTCCAGGCTCCCGGAGCGGCTGACAGCTGCAGCTGAGCAGACAAACGACGAGCCGCTGGGACTGCAGGCTAAAGACAAGATTCTGACAGACACAGAGGGAGACGCACAGGTGTCAGGATGTGTAGAGCAACGTCAAATATCATCATAGCGTGTTGCATTTGACAAAGTCTTTGAGTTATTCACTGTTACTTTTTCAAAAATGTAAATATTGTGCTAAGATTAAAAAATACTGGAACTGGCCTCCTCTAACTCACAGACATGAGATGATACCAGTTTACAGACAGACAGACAGACAGAGAATCAGACAGACAGACACACAGACAGAGAGTCAGACAGACAGACAGACAGAGAGACAGACAGACACACACACAGAGAGACAGACAGACAGGTTTACCGTGGGTGAGTTTCATCGATGTTCATTTCGTAGAGATTCTTCTTGGCATCTGTGTCATAGAGTCGCACTGTGCCGACCCCACTGCCGAGTAGTAACTGCACACACACACACACACAAACACAAATACACACACACACTTTTAGTAAAGGTGTAGAGCTGCTACTGATACCTGGACATGATTCATCTACCTTCTTTTTTTCATGTTTTCTTGGTGATCGATCCTTAAATAAAAGCAGATATAAAGCACACACGGAGCTATTTAAAAAAGAACTACCTAATGGTCATTACAGAGAGAGGTGAAGGGTAACCTAGCAACAACTGAGGCTGTGAGACCTGCCACTGTTAAAAGTTGCTGTCTGTGGACAAAGGCCCTAATAACATGACGTCTGCCGCTTGTTCGTACCAGTCTGTCAGGTTTGGTGGCCCACTCCAGAGACAGCAGAGGAGACTTGGACATGATGGTGGCTTTGGTCTGCATGATGGGGTTGAAGGACCACACCTGAGGAGGAAGTGACAGATTAATGAGAATGAGAAGTTATGCACAGTAGGAATAATATGAACGTTTTTATATCTCTAACTCCAACAATAGACGATGCTGATTCACCTTGATGACTCCGTCTACGTCCAAACTGGCAACCCGACGACCTGAACTATCGACCCTGAAACACAGAAGAAGAATCGGTTGATGAAATATAGAAATAGAAATATTGTCGTTGTGATATATAATGAGACAAACCGGGATAATGTCAAACCTGCAGTGCATGATGGAGGAGTGGTGCTCTCCGTACTCCTCCTGGCTGAGTTTGATAAAAGGCTGTTCTGTTGACAGGCCTCCTCCCTCCGCTCCTCCTCCAGAGCTCTTGGTGCTGGAGGACTCTAGAGGTTCGCTGGTGGATTCTGCGACAGGCTCTACCTCCCCTCCCTCCCCCTTCTTCTCTGGTGCCTGGAGGACAAAACATGGATGTTGGTGAAAATGCTGGAAATGGCGGCCAAAGTTAGCTTGTTAAGATGCTAACACTTATTTTCCAGTTTCAGGCTATAACTGATTTCTTCAAGCGGTGTAACTTGGTAGAACGCACTCAAAGCAAGTAAGATACTCTGCCAAGATATTTCCAATAAAACAGCACAATTATTTTACAGTTTCTGTTGTGGAATAAAAGCATAAAAGACGTTGTAATTGGAGACATTTGGAAATGTTCAAGAAGTATTTATGTATTTTTTACTTTAGAGGGAACAAAGCTAACGGTTCCTACCTGCTCCCAGTCTAAATGCTAAGCTAAGCTAACTACTGGGTGAAGTCGTATTAGCTTTTTATTATCAGTGTCAGGAAATATTAAACATTTGTTCCCAAAATGTTCAGCTTTTCCTGAAAAATGATGATACGGTACGACGCAATGCAATACAATGTATTTTCTGTCCCCTTGGGGATATTGGTCTTGGACTCCAGTGCTGCATTCGTATAGCTGTCTCTACAGTAAAATCAGTAAATAAAAAAAAACAGAAACAAACAACAATAAAGACTACATCAATATCAACACTGAACTACGGTAAATTCTGTATCTGAAACCAATAAAACGTAAGTGACCCGGCCTTTAGGTACCTGTGACAGCGGTTTAGAGAAAAGCTCCTTCCTCTCTTTCTCGTGGTCCTGGATTCTCTTGTGTCTCGGGTGTGCCTGCTGGTTCGTTGACTGGTTTGTGGACTGTTGGGACTGGGAGCTCACAGGGTCACTGGTTGATGCCTGGCTCGACACCGGCTTCACCTCCTTAGATTGGACCACGTCTTTTGATTTTGCAGGCTAGAAAACACAAATTTATTGTAGGTACAGAAGCTACTTTGGTCATATTTCCATCAGACACATGGTTTGAGTTGAGTATGTTTTCAATCCTGCTTTGTTGTTATACTGGAATTAGCTCTCACTGGATTGGTTGGCAGGTCCTTCCTGCCCACTGCTACCTGGCTCGGGGAGGACACCGTGATGACCTGAGGAGGTTTCCCAGGAGTGCGTTTGGCCTGCGGTAGGAATGTAGAGAAGAAGTTTCTGGAAGGAGTGGTGGTGGCGCTGACAGTGCGTGTGCTCGACACCAAGTCCCTGTGAGGACCGAAAGACAAACAAAGCATCGAATGAGTACAACGCTGAACTCAAGATTTGATAAAGATTTGTTGAAGTCCTAAACATGGTCGCCAATGTTTAGGACGACCCATCCAAAGAGTCAATGTGGAAAAATAACTTCAACGTGCCTCCTCTTTAGCAAAACTCCAGCTTTTGTAAAATGACTTTTTCCATTTCCAAATAAAGTGCAAATTTGAACCAAAGTCCAGAAGAGAACAGGGAGCTTTACACTGTTGTGGGTGAAGTGGTGGCAACAAGATGCTGCATTTCAGTCAAACCCAGAATGACTGAAGGTAGGTGCCTCTTTATTGCTCCATAGATCTGATCATTTTTCATGCTTACAGGATTATTCGGTATTCTACTGTGTTTTGCAAGCTAACTGCCAACAAGCTAGCAAGCACAGCAAATTGGTGCTAGAAACTCTTCGATCGAGCGAAAGCTGGCACCAGTGTTGGGCTGGGACAAATTGAGCCTTTTACTATTTTTGCCTGGACTGGCCCATTACAGACAAATCAATTTAAAAGGGGATGAAGGTTGACAATGAAAAGTACCTCTACAGAACCTGCTCTTTTTTAGGCTACAGGCAGCATTCATTATGTTTAAATTTAGTAACAATTGTTTTAAGAGCTGTTCCAAAGCTAAGGACTCTCATGTGAGTCATCCTTGATCATTAGCATGCTAACAATCCACAGAAGCTTCAATTTCTAGCTTCGTCTACCAGAAAGTTTAGAACTGAAGAAGCCTTTCAAAGGAGAGGTGAAACGTTTTCAAGATCTTCAACCAAGTCCAGTAGCGTCAAATTTATGGCCCACCCAATGGAACGGCCAACAGATGCCTGAATTCCAGACCAAGACTGGTCAGCACTGTAAAGAAAAGTTTTAATGGTGCAAAAGGTTTCTTCTGGTACGTCCTGTTTAACGCATTTTCACTAGTTCTTGTTTAGATGTTTGTTGGACTCAGTTAAATGTTTCCTTTTCCTGGGTTTTTAAGTTATAGAAACAATAACTTCACGACCACTTCAGACAAGACAAGATGAGCACTTAATGGAGACATTGAGACAACATCAGCTGTCAATGTAAATGACAAAGAGGAGGACTTAAGCAACACTAAAAAAGCTCAGGAACTTTTTCACAGCTTTAGGAACTGTTCAAACCCTCCCCCCTTTTTAACTGATTCAACACCGCAGGAACTCTGAACTACTGTATTTTAGTTTCTGAAACCCTGTTTAGAGGACTCTTTTTAGCTGGAGTAGGTACCATGGCGGTGCGAATGCAGACAGGAAAAACGCCCCCATGCTGTGTCATTCTCAGGGAGCTCCCTAGAGGATAGTTCCTCTTCAAATAGCCAGAACTGTTTGGTCTGAAAACCCCTCATGTCACTGACAAAGGGACAACAGAAGCAGTCATGGTGAGACGTCAGGGGGAGCCTCCCTCGTCTCAGGTGCAACATGATGGACATGTAGCAGGTTTCACTTACCTCAGTGAACAACTTATCATCTTGATAGCTCACTGAAACGGTTACTTTAAAAATCACCTGTTGGTCTTTATCTTTATGTTGACCCATTTCAACACATGGGGGGAAACGCCCTCGATGAGGCTGACTATGGTCAGAGTAAGATGTGGAGGATGAGTACGGTTTGCACCGAAAATACAACTTCACTGCCGTAACCCGACTGCATTCAGTAATGCTGTCTGATAGTTTACAAAGGTGATTGCATTCGTTTGAGCGAATAAAAGTAGCAGTGGTGTGTTATGTCCCCTGCAGTAGTAAAGAAAGTCGTATTTATGTGAAATGAAATATTGAAGAAGTGAGAAAAGCTACTGAAAGGGTGAAGACAGAGTCTGCATCTACTGTAGTTTATAGTTTAACAAGCGGTCGGTTCAAGGAATGAGGTTCAAACATGGACTGCTAAAATATCTCTCAACATTCATGGTCCCCAAAGAATTAACATATTGACCTTACTGTCCCACGACTTGTTTTAGTCTCAAGTCTTGTTGTAGCTAATAGAGTGGACGAAAAGAGTTTCAACTTGAAGATATGAACCTTCACATTCTTTTAGCACATCATCATCACATGACATAAGTATCAGGAGCCTAAAAAGACACTGAAAGAAACTGTGGCTTTTTTCCGAAGAAAGATCCACACTGACTTGGAGGAAATAGTCTCTTTTGCGGCAGACTTAATGTCTTTGAGGATTCTAATTTCATCGTTTTCACGCAGCTGCTCTTCTGACACTTTCAGAATAATAATTTAACCATCGCTGAATTTAAATCAATTTACCAATTAATATCGTAAATTAACGACATTATTCTTGTAAATGTACGACTTAAATCTCCAAATTTTAGATTTTTCTTTTTCTTAAACGTGGCCATAATACTCGTACAAAAAGCCTCCTGTGGACAGGTGTTGAAAATTAGCATTTTGATATAAACACTACAGAGCAGTTAATCTGGGACTTGTGCATGATGAAATGTTACAGCACCCAACATTACTGTATGTCCATGTCAATAAACAAATACATAAAATAAGTGCTGTAAGTGCCATAACATCTAGAGGGCCCACAGGTAACCAAAGTCAGCAGCAGGCCTTCATGATTTCTATGTTGGTGGTCTTTGATGGTTTTAGGACTTAGAGAAGAACCAGCTGGATTTCCTCATGACTGGACTCATGACCTGAACGTGACGTGTGAGTGTGACTGGAGTGGACATTTACTGTGAGGCCTCTTAGACTCTTCAACGACCCGATGGAGGAGCGAAATCTTCAAAACTCTATTTTTTCCTTAAAGTCAAATCTTACATTTTTTTTACTCAACTTGTCTGCTAACGATTTTGATTTTCTTCTACACTTGACGCCTCGTTATCCCTGACTTCATTTAGGTCTCTAATTAGTTCAACTGGATTTAGAGTCTCGGTCGACTGGATCAGAGTGTCACTGTGTGTAAACCTGTGTGAGAGGGTTTTTAAAATAATGGATTGTAAGAATAAAAAAACAACAATTCATGAGGTGAATTGTTTATTTAGAAACAGCACAGAGAGTAAAAAAAGCATAAATACTAAAAACCATGAACAATAAATTAGTTAAAATATTCTTAAATAGAAGTTTTAATGAGCAAACACAAAATGATCCGGAGTTCTGTGTGCTTTCAACTGACTTAAATAAAAATAATATAAATATATCCGGATGACTATGTAATAATAATAATAATATGTATTAAGAGGTTTTTGGACAAAAACATTTTGACATACGTCTGAAAAAAACAAAACGTCCTTTTTTACATCAACAGAGTCAGAGCTCTGGTTTTAGTTTCAAACATCGGATTCTCAAAGTCATTTAAAGTCAAAATATTCTGACTTTATCTAAAGTTAAATATCAGGATTCAAATTCTGCTTTTCTAGTTTTTAGCATCATCATCAGAGACCTTTGGTAACCTGCGTGCAGCAGCAGCTCAGCCGTGACACTTTCTGAATTCAGTGCACAGAGGGCTGTCTGCACGCTGGACGTGTCAGACTTTAAAATATCAAGAAAACAAACACAGAATGCTGAAATTGAGAAAGAAGGCAGCATGCTAACGTGCTTACATCATACATGTTTCATGGCACTTCCTGTTTGCTACGGTGGCTGGGAAGTGCAAACCGAAATCCCAAAGAGTGAAACACTTTAACAAAGCTGCAGGTTTTTACATTTTTACAAGATGCAAAAAAATATGTTAGTAGCCCTGAGACAAATCTACAAACGACAGAATCTCCTCAGTAAGGGATGTACCAAATGTTACGGCAGTGGAGCGGAGAGGTTTTTACTTTAGTGTGTGCTTCCACTGACTCGGCTACGCTCTGTTTCATCTGCGTCTCAGCTCCGGCAGTCCTGAGCACTCCGCAGCAGAAACACAAGACTTCTTATTTTTGATGGATAAATAAGCACTCAGTTTTGACGGTTCAGAACAATGACCTTAAGTGTTTTTGTTTATGTGTTTTAAACAGTTTTATACCACATACATCGTATTATCTCGCACTGTCGTGAGTGAATCTGTAAAATAACTGCAGGAATTCAATTTGTCTCTGCCCTCCAGCTGTCCAGCTGTGCTGCTCCATGCTGAGCACTGAGAACGCAGCCTGTGGGTGTTGACGGACGAGGGTGCACGGAGCTGTAACAGAGCGGAGCGCACACCTAATGCACACCAATCTCGAGGAAGCTCTGGGACAGTCGCTCTTTCTCTCATTTATTACTTTATTATTCCTTTTCCAGCAAAAATTCTGTCATTTGTAAATTTCCAGGACCGGCAAAAGTGTTTAGCATCTTGTAAATTTGTTTTCTAAAATGTTTATTTGCGCTCAAGCTTTGTAAAAGTGTTTCACACTTAGTAAGTTTGTTTGGCACTTCCCAGCCACCGTAGTTTTGTGATCAGAAACAAAAAATAGAAACCCTTCAGTCAGGAAGAAAAAAGTGCGATGATAGTGAGAAGTTAAGCTCAGATGGCTACTCAAGAGAGAATATTAAAAATGGCTGCCACCTGTTAATAAAATATCTCCAGCCCAAGCCTCCATTTCATTCAAAGCTTGGCAGACATTTGGATGTACCAATGGAGTGTCACACAACAAATCTCCAAAGAAATAACTTAAGTTTAAAGCATTAATTCATCGCCTGACTCTTCACTTCAAAAGTCAACTTAATGAACGATCAGAAAAAGGGGCAGAATGGCAGCCATCTTAGTTGTAGTCAGTCATCAGTAAAGAGAGTGTCACAGTGGTGTTAAGTGTCTCACAGCTCAGTGTCTCCCAGGCGGTCCATGTTCTGGACGTAGACCGGCAGCTTGTGGTGGACCACCTCGTCTCCGTCCCTCTGGTCCCGGTTCTCGGTCTGCAGGGCGAACAGCTGGACGAGAAGACGAGACAGACGGGTCAGATACAGACAGATCCAGAGACCGGCTTACCAAAACCAGAGACAAATCATCCAATCCACCATGACGGTTTCAATCAAAGGCTGCATCAATGAGGGGAAGAGATCGCTCCTTAAACAACATCAGAAGAAAAACGTGTGTCCATACGTTTGACTCCATCGTTCTACAATAAAGACAAGAAAAACTGTGGACAGCTTGTTTTTTTTCTCACCAGCTGGCGGAGCTGATCGTTCTCTTCCGTCAGGCTGGTCGTCCTCTGGACCTCGGCGTCAAAACTCAGAAGAACTGGCTGAGGTAGTAAAGGTTAAGGAGTGCTGACACAGACACACACAGTGGATAAATAAGACTCTATAACCTATAAACAAACTGGATCGATCAGAAGGATATGCATACACTGGAAGAGGACCGACAGGAAGTTGTGAAGCGAAACCAAGAAGGTGTCAGCCCACTGACGGGAGAAGTACGGAGAGAAGGCGGAGTTCTGCTCGGGGATGGGGATAAATGGCAGGATGAACCAATCACGCCATTCGGCCTGAACCTGCAGCTCCAGCGCCTGCTTCTGGAAAAACTCCTGCGTTTTCTCCAGGTTTCCTTTCTGGAGGGACGGAAAAAGGAGACAGTTTGAAGTACCGCAGCTCTGTTTCAGAAGCTCACAGTCCGCTGTGTTTGATTCCTCTACCTGGATGGTGTTGATGACGTAGTATCTGTACAGGCTGGTCCTCAGCTTGTTGACCGTTGCTCTGTAAACGTCCTCCAGTCTGCAGAACAGACGTCTGTCCAGGTAGAGCCAGTACTCCTTCAGACCGAACAAGTCGAAATTCTGGACAAACTGCTGCAGCTGATCGATGATTTTATCCACCTGCAGTGAGGAGAGGTTCAGGATTAAAGGGGAAAGTTGTGTTTGGAAGGACACACATTATACAAAATACCTGGGTTCAAGTCAAAACAAACACGTTTAAAAAATACATGTGCATGGGAATGATGACCTCGTGATGAAACCCTTTCTATGATGTTTTATATAAATCAATATCTCCATCAATCTTACCCTGAAGCCTTTCTCCTTGTCCGCTTTGATCTCACTGTCCAGGTTTTTCAGGGTGCTGGTGAAGCCGCGGTAGATCAGGTACTCTCTCACGTGCTCGTCCGTCCTCTCCACCGCAGACCCCATGGTGACCTGTGACCCTGCAGCGTTAAAAACAATACACTTTAAAATACTAATGTCAACAAATGAGCTGATCGGTCAAATGCTGTCAGATACCCGGTCTGCTCGATAAGGTCAGTGAGTCAGAGTCAGCTTTAGTGGCCAGGCTCCTTTAACTGAAGAACTCTGGTTTATAACTACAGAAGAAATGTTTCCTCTTCTTGGTTTGCTGGCGTTGTTGATGTCTCCCTTCATTTTGTGAAAGTTATTCTAACGACAACTGGAAACACATAAAACAAAATAATCACTAATGCACATTGTATAAGGCTGACAACTCTTGAATGTAGCTGATAACTTTATAAATATCATTAAAAAACGATCAATATTCTCCCAAACATCAACCCATTTTTTTGTATAGATCCGTCCATGCACACAAGCAGACAGGAAGTATTATACACCCACGAAATAACCTTAAAATCTGCAACCAGGTAACAGACCATAACGATAATCTATTAAATAAATACAAAGCTACTATGTTAAGTGTACAAAATGAAATATAATGTTGTCTTTGTGAATCTAACGGTGTCAGAGCTGAGGAGGGGTCATGATGCTAAAAAAAAAGCCTGCAGGCCAAACTCCATTCAAAAATCCCACAAAACTGTAAACACCAACAATTACTAAAAACTGTCTTTTTCACTTTGCACTCAGCAAAAACAAAACATTGACAACATTATAATCGCTGACTAAGTTAAACTCAACATATCTGTGTTAAAATCAACGTGTTTTTAAATCTCTGGTGAGTTGTACCGCCTTGCGCCATCATAACAAACGCGTCGGGGAACTGCTTTATAATACCACATATCTCAAGAACAATACAGAGCAGTTAAATACATTATGTGCCGAATTAACAAGCAGATTCCCCTTTTACAAATCACGCCTCCAATCGTTACTGAATACTTACTTACCTCAGTTGATAACCAAGATTATCTTAAATGTATTTAATTTTCAATGGAGTTCGGTTAATCCAAGACAAACAGTAAAAAAACGCCATTTAACGTAACCATCACTGCGACATGAGGAGTTTAGATTACAGCTAAAGGACGGAGCTGCCACCTTTTTATGTTCTTTATGGTTACAAATGTTAAATACTTACATCAACAAAGCACAAACTCTCTTCCTGTTTTCTTCCCCTCCTGACAGTCATGTGAAGAGTTCAAGTAATGTAGTAACCATGGGAGTAATTTAAGTGGAGCGCCCTCTGGTGGTCAATATGCCGCATAACAACCCAAGAATGTACAAATCCCCCCCAAAAAATCTGATTATCTTTCTCACAGTAACAATAAATAAATTAAACTGCATATTATCTTATAATAATATTCAGCCAGCTTAATTTAATTTAATTTAATTTAATTTAATAAAAGGTTTCTGAAAAAACGCTCATATTCAAAGTATCAATATAGTCTCTAAAAACACAATGAACACCACAAGCTACTCAAAGGTGAAAACTCAAGATAGATTTAAATGCAACATATATATATATTTAAACAAAATCAATTAAACAAAAACAATCGATACGATTTCATATCAGAAAATAAAAAGTGTAGAGGCGTCATAGAGTTGCTATGGTAACAAGGTGAAGAACACTCAGCATAGAGCTACCATGACAACATGTAAACAAGACTCTTAAAAGGCAGAGGAGACAAAATGTCAGCGCAGAGAAAAGAGAGAGCAGAGGAGGAGAACAGAGAGGAGGAGAACAAGGTGGAGGAGGAGAGGAGGGACGATGAGGAGGACTTTGAGGAGGCGATGAGAGAGTTCGCCTCCTCCACTGCTTCCAGAAGAAAATGCGAACCTCCCAAACTTCAAATGATTCCAAAAATCCCAGAGGCGGTGGACGACTTCCTGAGGAACTTTCTCCGGAAATTAGGGATGAGCCGGACTCTGAGGAGCTTTGAGGCCGAGTGGTACGGCTCGGCTCAGAAACTCCAGACTGAATCTCTGAGGATGACTTGTGCAGGAGTGTCCTTCATCCCTGACGCGCTCACACACAGGCAGCTCCTCCACAGCGAGCTGCAGGAGGTCCACAGAGAGACCGACCTGCTCAGAGAGGAGGTGCTGGCTGCAGGGGAGAGACTGGGGAGGATGCAGAGGGAGGCGGATTTCCACAGGCTGCAGTACAGACGAGTCCAGGAGGAGAAAAACAGGCTGATAAACGACTTCAAAAAGCTGAAAAAACACCTGGAGTCATACGAGCCGGCGCTGAAACAGCTGGACGAGAAATACCAAACAGCTCTGAGTCAGAAAATGCTAATCAGTATAGAAAAGGAGCGAGTTAAAAGCAGCATAAATGCACAACCGAACCAGGAAAAACCCCAAATGAAGAAAGAAAGAAGCATCAAAAGCGGAGACAGGCCTGATAAATCTCCAGAGAAAAGCAACAACATGAGATATCCAAAGTTTCCTGACCCACACCTGGCTCAGGTGAGTTTTGAAACGTGTAAAAGTTCCTTCAGTCTGTCCTGCTCCGTGAGGGCTCACCAGCTCCCCATCAGCTGCATCGACCTGCATCCACGAAAGATGGTCCTCTCCTCCGCCAGTGACGACCACAGCTGGAGACTGTGGGCGCTGCCAGCCGACGGAGAGAAGGTACGAGACCGGTGTTCCTATTTTATCAATCAAAGAGATGAACTGACATTAAACGACACAATATAAATTAGAGGTGAGGTTTAGATATGTTTACATAAGAGATAACCTGGTTAACTAGAGACTTACTTATCACAGGTAAACTGAGTAAAATAAAATGGACGGATGATGTCCGCCAGTGGCGATTCTAGAGTCTGTTTTTGAGGCCAAAAATTATTATTATCAATTTTTTTTTTTTTTTTTGGGGGGGGGGGGGGGCACTAACCAGCGTTCATCACCATCATTTCTACCAGTGTACCAGACACTTCCTCCTCTTCCATTTCCTGTTTCTTTTTTCTCTCTTGTTGATGGATGATTGTCCTTCACTTTTCTTTGTTTACTTTCACTGACAAACTTTGTTTTTCACAAAGCAATAACGCTTAACAGGGCAACAAAAACAAGCGCTGTCAGATGGGGCCCCCTTAGGGAGGATTCCGACTGCAGTTGCAAAATTTGCACTTTTTGGGTCGCTGCTCTGGTTTAAAGTTTTTGAGCCCTCGGGGGCCCCCATCGTGGTCTGGGGCTCCAAGCTGTTGCCTGCCTTGCCTGTTGACAATCAGTGCTTCTTATGTCCTCTTAGAGCTTCCATACAAATCTAAATAGATAGAGTGATGAAGTTTGAGATGAGACAATTAAAAGATGAGACAATTTAGCCTAAAGACATATTAATGAAATGACCGTTAATACATTAAAGTGAAGACTACATGAAAATAAATGTAAAAAAAGGAGAAAAAGAGAACTCTCAGAACTAATGTTTTATTGTTTTTGAAGTAACAGAGATGTGATTTTTTTGTCGTTTTTTGTTGCCAGGTTGGTCAGATGGTGATGACAGGTGAGGGTCATTCTGATTGGCTGTCCGGGTGCAGTTTTCACCCAGAAGGAGCAAAACTGGCGACCACAAGTGGAGACAGCACGGTAGGTTCCTCTCTACATTATTCTCCCGTGTCGTCTGATCTTCTCGTCCTGTCGATGATTCTCGGACGGTTCCTCCTGCAGGTGCGTCTCTGGGACTTCTCTCGTGGCTGCTGCGTGCTGATGCTCGCCGGTCACACTCAGCCGACCTGGGGCTGCTCCTTCCACTCGTGCGGTCACCTCCTGGCGTCTTGCTCTGCCGACAGAACCATCAAGCTGTGGGACCTGAACAGAGCGAGCTGTCACCTTACACTGCGCCGCCACACCGCCTCCGTCAACAGCGTCCGCTTCCTGCCCTTCTCTGACCTCCTCCTCGCCTGCTCCGCTGATAAAACCCTCGCCTTGTGGGACGCCAAAGTGGGTCTCTGTGTTGCTACCTTCCAGGGTCACCAGCACCCCTGCAATCACGCCGCTTTCAGCCTGGCAGGAGGCATCGCCGCCTCCTGTGACACCTGCGGCGTCGTCAAGCTGTGGGACATCAGGAAACCGTCATCAGCAACCGCAACTGTAGAAGCTGGACAACAGGCCGCCAATCAGGTGGCGTTCAGCCCATCAGGGAAGACTTTAGCTGTTGCCTGCAGTGACGGTCTGGTCAGGATGGTGGATGTGGCTTCTCTCGTTGTGAGCAGCCTGTCGGGACACAGCGATGGCGTGCAGAGTGTGACTTTTGACCACAAGGGGGAGACTGTGATATCAGCGGGGAGTGATGGGTCGATTAATGTCTGGTCGTGAGGTCATGACCAACAGGAAACCTTGACGTTATAGATACAACAGAAGAACTACCAAAGACTGCAGTTCCTCAAATGGCCACTTGGGGATGGCTCGATGAGCGAGTCACTGCCCATAGAGCCACATGTTTCATAACTCTACTGCAGGAATAAACACATTACTGTGGGCACAAAAAGCAGATTTCCTGATTTGTTACACCATCTCTATATAACTCCAGTTTAAAGGATTAACCTCATTAATAATAAATAAATGATCAGACAGCATGAAGGTGGTGATTTTAAGATTTGTTTTAATGTGAGCGGTTTGAAGACACAGCAGCAGGAGACTGTTCAAGATAGAAAACACTCAAAATGGATGTTTTTTTTAAACATCTGTTTGGCAGTGTAGTGGTTCTGAATGTGACACAAAATACTGACTGTATGTTCTTCATCTTAAGACAGGATGATGATAATAATAATGCTGGTAAAACAACGATGACAAAGTGAGCTCGTTATGTAAAGAGCTTCAACACTTTTAATTACAAACCTCTGCTGTGCGGTAAAGCATCACCGCCCGTCGTCTTCAGGCACTTCAGCAACACCATCAGTCAGTGTCAAACTTTCTCAGGCACTTTTTTTATTTAACTTTCAGCTCTGATTAGAGATTCGTCCTACCAAGGAGTATTAGGGCAACATTAAGGGGAAACAAATCTGAGATATCGGGACTGAAGTCATACATTTAGAAGGTTAAAGTCGTAAACTGACGAGATTAAAATCATACATATACAGTTATATCAGAAGAGCAGCAGCCTTGAATGTCAAACTTTAGCAGGTTGAAATGTCTCATTATATCGTAACAGTGACATGACAGGATGTTTAAGTAATAATAGAGCTAAAATAATGTTCAGACCCCTCCTGACATGAAACATGGATTTCAACACATAACTGGTTTAATATGTGCAATTAACTGCTCGGCATGTGAACCTGCTGCCACCTGTATCATGTCACAATGTAACATTGACTGTTTCCTGTGGGGGGGGGGCTGCTCTCATGAGCGTGTAACATTGACTGTTTCCTGTGGGGGGGGGGGGGGGGGGCTGCTCTCATGAGCATGTAACATTGACTGTTTCCTGTGGGGGGGGGGGCTGCTCTCATGAGCATGTAACATTTATCATGCTACGTTAATGTCAGCGTAGTAACAGTAGCCGCAGTAACATTCGACTTGTTAACAAAAGTATAGTACACTCTGGACGTTGAAAAGAAAGACGGATGAGATGTTTCATCATCAGTCATTAAAAAAAGCAACACGACTCACTAAGAGGTCGTTGTCCAATTTCATACACACGGGCAACAAAATCAACCAAAACAAAAGTTCCTCACAGGAGCTTTTTTTGCGTCACGTTTGCTTGATAGCATGCTACAGTAGCTAATGCTAATGTATATAAAATGTATGCAGCTAGCATTGTGACACTCTCACCTCAAGAGTCCCGCTGCTGTCTTGGCAACAAATAGAATTCAAACTATATTTTCCGTGCAGTAACGAACACGTGGACGTTACACCCGTAGTTCATTTTGGCACATTCACACATTTAAAGATCACATATTCTGCAAAATCCACTTCACCATGTTTCTCTAACACTAAAATATGTCTCTAGTCTGTCCACAAACCCCCCAATGATGAGAAAAGTCCATCCTCTCCGTCTTTTGCCTGAAATGTGTGTTCAAACAGGCCGTTTGGAGATTTTCCCTTCATGACATCACAAAGGGCAGTAACCCCTCCCCCAGGTGTGTGACACTCCCACAGCTAGGTGTTTGTTCTGCCCTCTGAGTCTGCCTTCTCACTGTAAACAATATGACATGGAGCGAGAAAGCCTGAGTACACCCAAGCCCTTCTAGAGAGGGGGCGTGGTCAGACACAGCTCATTTACATATTTAAAGGTACAGACACAGAAACAGCCTGTTCTGAGCAGGGCTGAAATAGAGGGGTTTATAGGCATAGGGGAGCATAAGGGAGCTCTGAGACTTATTTAAACCGGTTGAGGAGGAGGAGAATATGTGGCCTTTAAGCATCTTAGCAGCTAATTATTTAGCACATTTTATCTCTCAGTTCGAGTCTAGTTGCCTTTCTTTTCTGGAAACCACCGAATGTTTCACAGCTTCCTTCACTTTAACAGTTAACTGGAACACCCATTTCATGCCATAGATAATGAGTCGGATTTGGTCCCTGGACTACATCCATACACCCTTAGTTAAAAAATATAAATCCAAAGCAGACTTCCTTCAGATTCATTGTCTTTTACTGTGTCCTGTTGCTGCCGCACATCAGAGGGAAACAACGAGGAGAGGACAAAGAGACCACTAACTGATGATGATGATGACATGGACGAGCTGGTCTTCGGCTTCAGGAGCGTTCCTGCTGAGTGCAGGTGAGTCCATCAGCTGAAGAAGAAGAGTAGCGTCCTTCGTCTTCATCCCTCTCCTTCTCTTCCTGTGCGCGTTTCTCTCTGGGCTCTTCCACCAGCATCTTCAGTCGGCTCAGGTGATGCAGAGCTCTGAGGACGGAAACATTCAGCCTTTAGTTTTGAAGTGTTAGTGTGAGATAAGAAAACTTTCCTAATAAGAAGTTTTGAGACGTTTTTAAATATTCTCAAAGATCCCGTCTGGAGAAAAAGGTGCAGCGCCCAGCCAATCAGAGCGCTTCTCGTTGGAAATAATTCAAGGTCACTGTTGACGTCACCACCGTGTCATGTACCCAACATCCTCCGTGCTCCTTGTCTGATTGGAGCTGTGATATTTGGGCCGTCATTATCATTAAGCTCATCATCCAGACAAAGTGGGAGGGCAAGCCCGCTCCGTTTGATGAGTGAAGGAATGAAAAACGACCTCAAATTTAAAACATACAGCAGCTGTTGTTATGGGCCGCTGTGGCTCAGTTGGTAGTCATAGTCTTTAAACCAAAAAGGTAGAGGGTTCAATCCCCACCTGAGCAACATGTCCGATGTGTCATGGGCAAGACACTTAACCCTGCATTGCTTCCGCTGATTCAGTGACGGTGTATGAATGGATTAGTGTTGTACATGTATGTCGCTTTGGATAAAAGCGTCTGCTAAGTGAATTGTAACATTGTCAAGAGACTGTGGTCATTGAGAGAAGACGCACAGGCAGCACTTTTTTTCTCATAGCATAAACGCTTCATCATCATCATTAAGTAAGTTGCAGCAGCAGCAGCTCACTTTGTGAACTAACTCTGAAGAGAGGAATCATGTGTATGAAGATGTTCAGGTACCTTTGTAGTGACGCTCCACCAGAAACAATCTCCAGCTCCGCTTCCCTCTCAGGCTTCTGCAACACAAAGAGAAAAACTCTGAGTAACCTGAAAACTATTATACCCCAAGAATTGTTATTATTAACCTGCATTTAACAAGGAGGGAAGTATCATCGGGATTAAATAGATTATTTTCAAGACAGACAAAAGCACAATAACATGGCTTCAAATACGATCAAAACATTCACAATTCAAAGCACAAACATGTGAATATCAGCATAAAGGGAAAGAGAAGAACCAGAAAATGACAGAACTAAATTTGACGGCGGATTCAGCTGTAGGGTCATCAGTACTAATATATCGAGTATGAAGTGAGCATTAAAGTAGTATCCTACACATCTGATCTATTTGGCACACTAACGATGGAGAGATGGATGTTGACTAATTGTATTGATTTAATTGATTCAAAAGAGAGAACTCGAGCTCCCGTCTTAAGTGCACTCGTCTGTTCACACCTGTTTCACTGGAGTCTCTCGTGTCTGTAACCTGTCAGTCTCTGTTGGAGCCGCTGGCGTCTCCTGGCGTCGCTGAAGCTCCGCCTCCACCGCCTGCAGCCTGAACAGCATCTGCTTCAGAGCCTCAGCTGGACCTGGCTGTTTAAAGATGTTGTTTCCATGGAGACAGCAGTCCTGAAGCTGGGAGAGAAAGAGGCTGTGATCCTGGATTGTCAGAGGACCACACTGACTGTAAAGTTTTCCAACACCTACCGGAGCTCCACTGTCGGTCTGAGCCTCTGTGTCGCCCCCTGTTGCTGCTTCTGAGTCCCTGCAGGTTCAACACATCACATATCCTTCAGTTAGCTTACTGACTGTGCTTTAGATCTATTGTTGAAAAGAAGTGTAAAAAAGGGGGTCTCACTGATTGAACTGAGGGCCGTGCAAAAGCTCCTCTGTCTTCATCAGGCTGCCTTCTTCATCGACACCATCAGGGATACTGACTGCAACACAAACAACAATCGTTCAATTAGATCAACGGAGAACTAAGAGGGAGAAATATGTGATAACCTTTGTTTACGCAGTGACAAGTTTACTAGAACTCAGAGAGCTACAAATATGAAAGATGTTTAATTTTGTATTTTGGGTCGTTGTTAGATAAGACAGTGGACTGAATAGGAAACCAAGGAGAAAGAGAGAGAGAGAGCGAGAGAGAGAGAGGAGGAATGACAAGCAGGAAAGAAGCCACAGGCTGCCGTCTTCTTGGAGGACTACAGCTCCGTATATGGGGCGTGACCTGTCCACTAGGCCATCTGTGCCACTACAATTATGAAATATGAAGGTTTGCTCCCACTTAATTTTCTAAATGTATATCAAAGCATTTTCAGGGCTGGGAAATTAATCCAGTTTCATTTCAATTAGGATTTTTTCTTCCCACGATCATGAAACTCGATTAATCCAGACTAAACGATGACTGTGCCGCATTGCACTCTTTTTGTCCGCAGGTTAGGTCATGTAACTAAATCTTACTCTTACCCGAATGTGATCGGCTTTCTGCTCCTCCAGAACTCTGAGACAGAGAGTTCAACACCTGGTCGGCCTTCTGGATCAGAGACTCAATCCTGTTGTCTGAGAGAATGAAAACACATTTACAGCAAACACAGCGTCAAGAGTCTGTGACACACAACATGGATCCAACATCAACAGTCTTTATCTTTACCTCTGAACAGAGTTTCCATGATGTCAGAGCTTTTCTTCTGAGCGGCGAGTAGAGAAATCTGTTCAGCAAACTGAAGCCTGAGATCTCTGAGAGTCTGCCGGCTGTCACTCTGATAACACACAAACAGTAGAAACACACACAATGATTATCACTTTACCTACTGACACTCAGTCACCTAATGAAATAAGAGTTCGCGCCACTAACTAACTGAAACAAACTCTAATATGACATTGCAAGCTCTTTATAAACCAGTAATAACTTTCTGGTCTCATTTCACTGACTCTTCCGCAGCTCGTCTTCTGAAACACTCCTGTGACCACATCACCCCCGTCCTTCATAACGTCCACTGGCTCCCCATCCCCCATTGTATCCACTTCAAATCCTTATCATCACCTACAAAGCCCTCCATAACATGGCTCCTCCCCCCTACCTGTCTGAGCTCCTCCACCGGCACACTCTCAGGTCTGCTGACGCAAACCTCCTGTCTATATTATTATTATTATTTAGATCATTGGATAGTGTTGCTGACCGAGGGTTCAGTTCTCTCACCTGGGCAGGTGTCTGGTCAGAAACATCGTCGCTCTCCAGCTCTTCCACCCAGGACGGAGCTCCGGATCTGTGAACTGCAGGAAGGGGAACACCTGGAAGAGCAACATATTATAACAATGATTGTTTATTTCTGTAGCACACAATGAAATTGGATTCTGTTCAACAATCCACACTGGAACGTATTTAAGCTCACAGTTTGTTCTGTGTTGGGCGCCCTAAGGTGACCTGGAAACCCCACCCAGGGGGGCTGTGGTAGTGAAATCCACCCTCAGTTGTTACAGTTTAACCCTTCAACAATTTGTAATCCAGTTTGTAATTCAGCTGTCAAAAACAGTGTTTGTGCCGTGCTGTACCTCGGTCATCCCACAGCTCTGACTCTGAAGGCGGCGGAGGCTCGCTCAGGTCGCAGCGTTGGATCCAGGCCGGGTACTTCAGGTCAGGCACGCTGGTGATTCCGGAGCAGTCCATGTCAGACTTGTTGCTGGTGAACCAGTGAGGGAGGTGGAGCGATGAGGACAGGTCGGCCCGCTCCGTCCTCGCTGCTCTGTGTGAGGACTGAGAGAAACAAGAGGAGTTCATATTTTTACATAGTCTGATCTATAAAAACTACATTTTAAGACCACCTCCAGGCTGATGAAATATAAAAACAACGTCTACTCTGTAGCAGCTGCCGGAGGAAATATCAGCATCCGGTTTCATCATGGCTGTGCCTGGTCTGCCCCTGCACCCAGATTGGAGGAGATATAGTGAGAGTTCTTATGATATATTTTAGAAAACAAAGTGCAGAAAACAGCATGAACCTGGAGCTTCTGGGCATCCTGGTTGGGTGAGTGTGGTGATGGAGGTTTATGCGGGGAGCGATGTGACTGCTGCTGAGTCTGTCCCAGGGTCTCTGTGCTGGTCTGGAGGAGGTGGGACGAGGCTGGGACGCCCTGGACTTGGACATGAGGCCTGGAACAGAAGATGAGAGTCAGAGGACCTGAGAAACGCACGCTTAAAAAAAACACACCTAAAAGCTGTTGAGCAATGAATTCACAAGCCCAATGAATATTCAATCTATCCTCCTTTTTTGATCATTTTAATTTGAATAAGTTCAAAGACCTTCGATAGAAGCAGAAATTGTCGTGATGTGTTTAATGACCTCTTATAAGGGCTCAGGTATATGTATATTTGATAATGCATTTAAAGACCATTTAAGAAAAGTGGAGGTGGCAAGATGCGTTTGATGACCTGCGTTGAAAGCAGAGGTACAGGTGATGCATTTAACAACTTTTAAATACAAGTGGAGGTTAAAGTTCTGCATTTAATGACAGGTTTGTTAATGACGCATATATGGACCTTTTATGGAGACAAAGGTTTGGATGATGTGTTTAATGAGATCAGAAAAAAAGACGAAGTGGATGATGCTGTTGAAGAGCGAGGATGAAGGGAGAGGTGTGTGTGATGCATTTAAGGACCTTTGGATAAAAAATGCATTTAAGACCCTGAATGATGTCAGAGGAGTGGGTGATGTGTTAGAGACCTCATTCGAGGGCAGACGTGTAGGTGATGTGTTTGGTGACCTTTTGATGACAGTGGAGGTACAAGAGGTGGACGATGATAGAGACCTTGGATAAAGGCGGACGTGTGGGTGACGGGCATGGAGCCGTCATGAGGGATGGACAGTAACTCGTCAGTCGTCATGGAGAGTCTGTCTCTGTTGCTGCGGTGATGGAGGGAGCTGACGGGGAGGTTAAGGAAGTCCAGCTCCTTGTCCGTCAAACGCTCCCTGAGAACTGTGGGTCAAAACAAAACACAAAGAAAAAACATGTAACATTTTATACAAACAGTTGACAACAAATAATCACAGACTGAGATGCACCTCTAGATATTCATCTCATAGATGACGTAAAAGACGACGTACGATCTTGTACCACATTAATGAATTCCCACTCAGGTTCAAATGGATGTTGGACACACAGAACTCCAGCACCTCTGTGTGATGACCTACCATCTTTGTTTCTGAGCATGCTCGCTCCAGGTCTGCATGGCGTGGAGGGTAGACTTTGAGGCAGGACCAGCTTTCCTGTCAGAGACCCTCTGTTCTGCCCACTTCTGTCGAAGTCTGCAATGTAGGCGTCCAGTGCTGCAGAGGCGGATTCATAGTCCTGCAGTCAATCAGTTCATGAGAATGAGTTATTTTACTTTCAGTGATCTAAATGACATCAAAAGCTTTTCTGCCAGCAGATTGCTTTGACTTTTATCACTCCCGTTAGGAAGGTGATGTGAAGACCGCAAAACATGAGTACAGGGGAATGACTGAAGAGGATTTAGTGTGAGACCGCCCGAGGGATTTCAACTGAAAGCATTTAAATCATTCAGATATTAACACAAGTGTTTGGAGTCTTTTGAACTCTGAGGCCGTAAGGTTCATGCTTTTCTTCAAAAAGAAGCCCCATTGGTTGTCAACTGTCAGCTGAATTTGGATCAGTAATCATAACCGGTTAAAGAAGGGTATATTTTCACACAATTCCCATTAACTTCTGCATAAACAGAATGAACCTTGTCTCTGTATCTGAAGGAGGTGTTGTGTTCAGGAGCCAGCAGGTTGCTTCTCAGGTGACCTGAGCTGGACAGGAGGGAGGTCACCGTCGACTCTGGGGACAGAACGTCACCGACCAGGCCACCGTACTCCATGCTGAATAAAACAAACAACAATCACAAATCGCTCATGAGCACAGAAAACGCTGGTGTGAAGCCAGAGCGTAGAGCAGAGAGAAAAAACAGGTGCTTCTCAAAACATTAGACTATCATGGAAAAGTTCATTTTTCCCTGTAAATTAATGCAAGAAAGGAAACTTTCATTTATTGCTGCTTACAGCTCATGCCAATTGAAAATGTAACATTAAGAATATAAACAACCAAAATAAGGACTTAAAGTACAGAAAGTTCAACAGTCTGAAAAGTATGTTCTTTTATGCACTTAAAACTTGGTCCGAATCCCTTTTGAATGAATTACTGCATTAATGCTGCGTGGCATGAGGCAATCAGCCTGTGGCTCTGCAGTTATGGAAGCCCAGGTTTGTCATGATAGGGGTCTTCAGCTCGTCTGTATTGACGGTTCTGGAGTCTCTCTTGGCAAACCGGTTACTGGGAGTTTTGGCTCCGTGGTCAGGTGCCAAGTCCTGCTGGAAAAGGAAATCAGCATCTCCATGATGCTTTCAGCAAACATGTCAAATCTCCTTGCAGACGTATGTGTTGACTCTGGACTTCATAAAACACAGTGGAAAAGCAGATGCCATGAGGGCCCAATTCACTGCCTGTGGAGACTTCACACTGGACTCCTGTCCTAAGAGAATCTATGGGGTGTTAAGAGGAAGAAGAGAGACACCAGACCCAACAACACAGACAAGCTGAAGGCCGCTCTCAAAGCAACCTGGGTTTCCATAACACGACTTATATACTTCACTTTAAGTCTAATGAATCAAGAATATATGAAGGCGTCCCTTTTTCAATTGAATTGGTGGGGGTCACGATCATCTAAATCGATGCACATGTCCACACAGTGAAAGAGGATGGGTAACTAAACAAAACATTTACAAAGCTAAAGCATCATAGTAACGATCTTAACTTTGTGTTTAAACACCGTGGTGAGCCTATACTGAAATCTGTGATCCTACTAACATACTGAAAACGTTTTAAGTGAATCTGGCTCATAAATGTGTTTTAAAAAAGGATCGTCGTCCTAATGTTGTTTACATGTTAGAGAAACTGTTCGCTTTTATGAAGTCTAGCCAAACAACAACCAAAATAAAAGATGAAATCCCCACCGGTACACTTCATTATTTATTAAGCAGTTAGCAAACAGTATCCTACATTACGTCAACAATACGTCAGTGTTTGTATAAAGTTAAAACAACTTTTACAACAGTGCTGACAACATAGTGACAAAATCTCAGGGAAGTTTAAACTGTTTACAAACTTCAGGTTTAAATTAGCTTACGACTGCTTCAAATGTTTCAATTCAAATGTGTTTATCTGCGCAGAATGACAATAAAACACTTACTATTACACTCCTAAATGTCTCCTTCTTGGTTTCTTTGGTCGCTACACAACACGGAACACTTTCCACAACAGGAGATTCAAGACTCCCGGGTGATGCTAGCTGGATGGAAGAACGTTCTCATTCGGTTTAATGACAGCTAGTTGGCGAACCAGTCCATGTGCTCTCTATCGCCCCCTGCAGGACTGGAGGGGAACTGCAGACGGACTATAAAAACAACACCGCAAACGACCATGAAGCTAAATTCCCTCCATTATTCTTATATAGTTAACTGACAATTAAAACGTTGTTTGGCTTGCTAGACTTGGCTAGCTTTTTTTTCTTCTAATTATCCAGTCATCTATTATTTGTTTAATTACATAAAATACGACTTCAGAGTGCTCTGATGCAGTAAAAGAATATCAAAGTACACACACTATCATATCCCCACACTCGCATACACACACTCATACACACATGCATACATGTCAAGTTTTTATTTCTCAATCGACCAACCAAAACAATTAAAAACAAACATAAGTCATCGACTCTTGAATGAAAAGGAGAAGCAATAAAAATAATCTTATACTCTATACCTCATTCATAAGAAATCATTAATAAAACACATCATTCTATAAAAACTACAATAAATTCCCACAGGCCAACACAACTCAGATCCTATACAATACATTATAGTTATCAAGTGTTTTTCAAGGTCACAAAATGATTTTAAATGGTACCGATCCATGAACTGGTAAACAAAGGTTCATGAAGCAGATCATGATGATAACTGTTCATGTTTAAAATGGAGGTCATGGCGTTTATCCTCCCTTTTCGCTACCTTTACACTGATCTTTATTATGCAGTCGTTGCTGATGTTCTTCTCTGGGGTTCAGTCAGCACGCTGCAAAATCTGTCTTTCCTGAAGCACAAACAACATCAGGTGATGTAGTTGGTGTTCTAAAGCTATAAGCTATTCATATTAGACCTCCAGTCTCACCATGGTTCTGGAAAACACAATATTATAATATAAACCCAAAAAAAATGGTATTCCCTAAGTAAGAGAGCAGAGAATAACTGATCCAGGTCATGCATTTGTGGTTTTTGACTAAGTGTTCAAATAGTTCATAAGAAAGAGAGGGTAACAATTTTAACAAACTAGGCTTCTTTCTTAATCTAGGAATCACTCATTTAATATGTGTTAATGATGAGCACTTTACGTTAAAGTAAAAAGTGTAGCAACACAGGCCTACCCAGCCCCCCATACCTTATAATCCATGCTTCAAATAGATCTACAGTATTTTTGCTCTAATCAGGTTTTACTGCGTTTTCAGCCTCTGTAGTGCAAATTCTTCCTTCTTTTATTTGCACCTCTACCTTTTTTTCCCTCTACCCCTCCATACTACTCACTCCCTCTCTCCCCCTCTAGAGTTCACGGCTTCAGCCCCTTTAACCCAGAGTCTATGACGTCAGTGGAGGCCCGGCAAGATAGAGGGCAAGAAATACAGCGAGGGATCACTCTGAGTAAAATTCCAGACACCAGGAGCACAACACACACTGTCAACAATCTTTTTTTAAATAAACAAAAATGTTATTTTGATTTTAGAAAGTTAGTTTTACTTGTGGCATTACTTTACATTTGATAAAAGTATCATAACTGCTTATTTGCTAAGTTATTTTTGTAACCTGTGTTGACTTCATAGGTCAAAACAAAACTGAGCGACAAGAGGGCCGAGTCATAGCCTACAGAAGTGTATGATATGTGTGTAGATTTTTAAGTTTTTATTTATTTATTTGTTTCTCAGTTTTAGAATTGATTTAAAAAGTTGTCCTATACAAATTGGTTCAAGAATAAATTATTAAAATTGTAGCACTTGGCTATTCATAGATTAGATTTCAGATTTTCTTTATTTAAATTTTAGTCAGTGTCTTATAAAAACATAAGCCAACGTATTGAGTCGACCGCTGCCAGGTTTAAGGGTTTGTTTTCATCCAGCTCAATTAAATGATTAATAATTCTGAATAAAACTATCACCAACATGATATATATATATATATATGTATATATATATAATGATAATGTATTTTGTTTTTCCACATAGCCTAATAATAAAAGGCCTTAACCGTTTCCCTGAAATAGAAACTGAATGGTTCCGTTTTTCTTGGAGCACCGCAGAGAGAAACTTCTTGTCAATAGACGATCTACGAGAGAGAGAGGGGGAGAGAGAGAGAGAGGGAGAGGGAGAGAGAGAGCGAGAGAGAGAGAGAGACAGAGAGAGAGAGAGAGGGAGAGAGAGACGTCACAGCCTGCCGTTGGCCCGGTTCAGCTCAGCTCAGCTCGGATCCGATGAGCCGTTGGTTCTAATTGGACGTTCAAACGGAACTACACCCGGACCTGGAGCCTGTTTAACCCGGGTTAGTCCAGCTCTGGGTCCAACTCGGGACACTTTTCATTTCTTATATACCCGGAATAAGCACCGTGAGAGAGCCGGGGCGGAGGCAGGGAGTCCGAGCCGCCCTTAACGTAACGTTTCGTGACGTGGTCCGCCGACGCGCTGCTCGTCCTCCCGGTGTGTTCACGGAGTTATCGATCCACCTTATCGGAGAAGTGACCGTCTGATCGATCGGTGTGTGAGGATGGAGAGGAAGAGGACGGACTGTCCCGCTCTTCCGACCGGCTGGAAGAAGGAAGAAGTGATCAGGAAGTCCGGGCTGAGCGCCGGGAAGAGCGACGTCTACTATTACAGGTACTTATCGATCAGTGATCAGTCTGCCAGTGATCGATTAGTCAACCTGGGCCTATAAAGATGTTAAAGTCAGGCTGTTGTTATAACACCTCTGTTAATGAAAGATGAGTGTTCAGTTCCTGTTACTTTCATAAACAACCCCTCACTAAGATGTTTGTAGTCCTACATCATCTTCCTGATTCTGACAAAGTGTCTCTCTGTGGCTCTCCCACTGTTTACTGAACCTGAGGTTTATTACAGGGCCTCAACCAGAATTTTTAACCGCTGACGTCATGGGCCCCCCACACTTCCACCCACCCTCAAAAAGAATAAGAGATGTCATGTTTTATATTCCAGGGTTCACTTCAGCTGCAACGTAAGCGTCCTGCAGAAAACAGTTCTGGTCTCTGCAGCTCGTTTCTTCTCTGGTCCACAGTCACGCTCTGTGTGGGGGCTGATCTTTGATTTTATAACTCATCAGTCGTGACGGGGAAGTCGGCTAAAAGGTGCCACTTTTTGGTAAACCGTCTAATTGACCATCACATAAGATCTAAGGGTATTTCTATAAGTGGTCACAAGCTTCTTGAATATTTACGTTAAAAAAAATGAGGAAAGTAAATTCACATTGGAATTGTGAGATCTACATATCGGCATGTCTACTTTTGAGCTTTGCCACAATGTTCAGGTTAAATGGGCCAAGAGTGATTCTATATCTTTCTAATGTTAACAGAAAATAGAAATAGATTTCAAAATGAACTGATCATGTCGTACATGTTTCTATGTGTTGGTGTCTTCAGCCCTTTTCAAAGTGCAATTCTCCAACAGCGCTGTAACGAGGCTCTGCTGTCATTAGGCCAAGACGTTCATATTGATTCCACAGTCACGATATATTGGTGTCCCAGTCTGGGAAGTCACACTGCGTTTCGGCATTGCGGAAGTGCAAAAGAGCACGGCATAGTGGGAGCTCAACACACACAAACACACACAGCTATTTTCTCCCCCACTAGCTCTGCCAATTAAATCCAATCTCCAAAAATATCAAAACAGAGCCAGCCTTTGCTGCTCATGCACCTTTGAGAAGTCATAGCTAAAAAGCCAACATTGAGTGTTTTTTATTTCATGGTTCTCAATGATCCTTTCTGTCCTTTCTCCACCTCTTGCATCGTACTCCTCCTTCCTTTCCTTTCTGTGTCCTTTTCTTCACTCTGTTCCTTCTCTGCCGATCCTCCTGCCATACTGTCTGCAACACATCTTCTCGTTTCAAAGAGGATTATTAAGATTTTGCACTGAAACACATTTTAGACCTCTAAACTTGTTTTGAAAGTGTGTTACATACACACAGAGAATTAAAAAGACACAAACTGATGCTGATGCTCCTCGGGTCGTATCGAGACGTCTTCCCCGATCAGAGAGTGCTCCCTGGAGAGGAGAAGACGGGGGGGACCCCCCCCCCACATTCCTTGTGAATAGACAGAGGATGACCAAACTACCAGTCAGCATTGCTCCTGCACCGGGTTGGAATGTGTCCTCTTCTCTCCTTCTTAGACCTGCTGTCGGCTTCTCCAAACTAAATGTACTAACGCCTCACACACACTGCAGCACATCTGGCTGAAAGGAAACAGCAGCACCAAGAATCTTTTGTTTTGGTAAAAGTCAAAACATAATTCACGTCTGTCAGGGTATCCAGTGCTGTTTTTAAGTTCCCCAAACAACATCTTAAAGTCAGGATGTATTAACTTTGCTATTTCATTCTTCCTTTTTCTGTAACCTCACAGAGAAACTTTGGGCTATTTTTGACTTAATCTCTATCTTTGAGTCTAGAAGGAGAAACACACCCCTGCTGTTACTGATGGTCCAGTTGAATTTATGAAATGATCACAAACTATTTCAACTTGACTTTTAGTTCCAGCCTTTGCTCGTAAGCCGTTCCCTGAATATGAGTGACGAAGAAATTATATCTATAATTCGTTCCAGCTCGACTTTACGGGAGAAGAAATGAAGCGGAGCAAGGCCGAGGCTGCAGATTCTTGCATGCAATGCATCCTGGTACATATGAAGTGCTTGCATGGCACTGCACACACACTCTTCCAGTATGGGAGTTAATATATTGCTTCAGTTGACTACATTTACCATCAAAGTACATTTCTTTCACACAAATTTGGTGCCAATTTTCCCTGAAAAGAATCAGTTATGACTGAATTACTAACGGCTCTTGACTTTCTGCACGTTTCCTGCACATTACATTACATAAGTATTGAATTCCATATGAAGGATCAAGGACAAGAAAGCAACATTTCAGCTTTAAACAGCCTCCCATGTAGCCTTGATAACAATCTTTTGTCTTCTCAGCCATTGTCTCAAGCAGATCAAAGTGTGATCTAGAGTTTGAGCGTTCACATCTATCCCTCTTCTCTACCTTCCTA